TGGTACATACAATGATGCTATCACAGCTATGTAGTTTACCACTGGCTGTGAATTTTTACCGAGCATTGGCATAATTCTTCTCAAATCCTACTGTCCTGGTTTTGGTCGGGATACTACTGCATAGTAGCTGGTACAGTGCTGTGTTCTGAATTTAGGATGAAAATAATGTTGACAACACCCTGATGTTTTAGTTGTTCAGGAGTAACACTACATTAAAGATTTTTCAGCTTCTCATACTGCCCTGCCAGCAAGGAGGTTGGGGTTGCACAAGAAGCTGGGGGGGACACAGCTGGGACAGCTGACCCCAACTGACCACAGGGATATCCCATACCATATGGTGTCATGCTCAGCATTTAAACTGGGGGACTTGGCCAAGGGATGGCAGGCCACTGATTGGGAACTGGCTTGGCACTGGAGAGCAGGTGGTGAGCAATTGCACTGTCCATAATTTTTGTATGTTGTTCATTATTATTATTAATATTATTATTATTATTTTCCTTTCCTTTTCTTTCCAATGAAATTGTATTTTTCTTAACTCATGAGCTTTACCTCTTTTCCAGTTCTCTTCCCCACTCCACTGCAGGGCAGTGAGCAAGTGGCTGTGTCGTGTTTAGCTTCCTGCTGGGTTAAATCATTCTTCACCATCATTACAGAATACTACATAGACATCTTTTGGGATATTCAGGCAAATTGTTCTCTGAAGTGAAAAAGGCCAAAAAAGACCCTCGTGTCAATACTTCTATACTATTCAGATAATTCTTTGAAACAGAAATTGTTGCATCTTTATTCTCCAAGAAAGTATTATTTCATTAGCACTTAGTAACATCTGAAGCAAGCTGCTGAAAATAATTTTATTTACAGATGATGAAAAGATTCCAGGAACCTGACAGGCCTGCTCCTTCAAGCTTGTTTCATAATTGTCTTTTCTTTGTCCCTCTTGACAATTATCTTGACTTTCTGTCAGGCTCCGTTATAGCTGCAACAGAACTGCTTGGTTGAGATCCTCCATCTTTAAAATTTTATTTTTTTTTTAACTTGGCCAGGCAGAAAATTGTTTTGCAGTTAGATTTCCTAGTTGCCATCTTGCTTAACATTATTGAGCAAATAAACTCAAGCCTTCCTAATCTCTCCTGGCCTTTCTTCAGTGCCTCGTGCTTCAGGCTCAGAGCCATAGGCTTGTGGCAAACTTTCTGTTTGCTCATCTCAGAAAATGTTTCACTACATTGTCACTTGCTGGGCCTTGCAGTTCATACATCTTTCAGAGTCATTTACTGTTACAGGGAACAAGTTTGTCATTGAAGAGACATCTGTCCTGAGCAAGCCCCAGCACTGGGATACTGCATTACTCATCCAGACAGTTATCATATTCCTGTGGTGACATCTGAAGCCTTGCAGGTCTATTTTCTACTTAGTTTGTAGTGGGTGGAGGCATGGGAATCTTACCAGAATGCTGCAGTGTTTTTCCTTGTTTCCCATGCTATATTACAAGGTGCAGGTTGCATTCAGCACACAGTTGGTGTCATCCTTCAGTTACTCAGTGACCACGTCACTTCTATCCAAGAGGATGAAGCCCTTTTTTTCCATGCTATGTATGATGGCTTGAGACAACAGTCTCCTGCTCTGATGCTCTCACCTTATGCAGGACTTATGCATAAGAACTATGCAGTGTCAAATACTGTTACTAAACTTATTTATTTATCAGTCAGTTGATCATGAGAAGCTATAAATATTGTTAAAAATACATTTGTGATTAATAAAAAGCTATCTGTTTAATGTATTTTCCAACATCACTGGTTGAGATAATGACTTACTGAACATTTGGGGAAGAAATGTTTTTAAAGTCAATTTTAGAAAAAGATAATTCTTGAACAAATGCACAATTTTATTACCTAAATTAGTATAATGAGTGTTAGTGAAAGAAAGGAGATTTAAATTAACTATTTGGCTAGCATGATTTAAAATGTAAGAATTTTGAATATACCTAGCAGCCAAAAACTCCTGAATCTGTTAACAGAAATGAACCCAACAGGAAATATAAATCCCTTTAAAATGGGATTAGTGTTTGTATATGGGAGGAAGTGTTTGCTATTGTTTGGTGTGTTTTAGTCTCTTCCCATTTGTTCCTTCCTTAGTGTTAAATAACTAATACAAAGGTACATCTAAAGAAAATATATTTTATCATGAGACATGGATTTGAAATAAATCCTAACCAAAAAACTAAGACATCTGAAAAACCTAGGCTAGAATTAAAAGGAACAGAAAATTTTGCTTCTGGGAGAAATATTTAATTAATTGTAAATCAGGACATCTACACAGAATATCATTTCCAGAGAAGCCCTGTTGGTATTTTTTCCAAACTGCCTTTTTATATCACAGACTTAAGGTCCAGTATAACTTTTTCAATTTTAAATGTAAAAACATGCTGGGGAAAGACATGTCCCAATCATAGGTGTGGACACAGGTATGGTTGTTTTTCTTCTCAAGTTTATGTCCACAAAGATAAGGGCACAAACTAATAATAGTACCAGTATAGCTGAGGTTCTGTGTTATATTCCAGATAACCAGATTTGTTTATGGGAGGAAATAAAGGTCATACTTAAAGCCAAACATGTCCTTAATACGTTAACTTTTAAGTCAGTGTCATCTGACACTGCCACCAAATAGCTAGTGGAACCTGGAAAACTTTTGCTTATTATAGCTAGTTTCCTTGAAGTGTGAGGTCCACAGACCTGGAGGTTTGTGTACAGCAGGAGGCTGTCCTGACTATGAGCAAGATATTATGTGGGAAAAAAAATTAGATTTCCTTTCAGTTTGTTTTGTCGTTTTCCATAACTCATTGTAAAGGAGAATGCAATTTAATAAAACAGTATGAATATTCAAATAGCATGAGTTATCTGATCAAGATACAAATTTTTCATGGAGTTTCCTGAATTGAAGGCAGTATTTTGGGGGACAGCGCAAGCTAAATGCAGCTTCAGGTTCTAAATTCTGGTCTAAAGACATACTAGACCTGGTGCTGGGTATACTTGAAGAACAGTGTGCTTAACTGAATTTGTTTCATCCTTTGAAAATAGAAATTTTACATCAATATTCTGTATTTCCTCAGTGGTACAACTCAGCTCCTGTGTTCTTTTCCCTTAAGTTTTTATAGAACACATATCTAATAAATATAAAGCCATCCTTTCTACTGGATCCAGAGCAGGGCTATTAACCAGTAATTATTTGCTGACTACAGACATGACAGTCTGTTCAATGAATAACCTTGAGGTGAACTGGACTATCAGCTACAAACAGCCACTTTCAGACACAGTAACTCTAGAACCTTTTAAGATCCTGCTATTGTGGATTTATGGAATAGATTCACAGAGAAGACATTTCTAATTGTCAAGTTTAACCCTGAATGAAAGACTGTAATTGTTTAACAAATAGTAATAGATTTTATTGGCATTCACCCTTATTGCTTGGTAGACTTTGAGAGAGAAAACCAGTGTAAGACATGGGGCTCTCACATAGCAGGCTGACTACTATGTGCAAAGTCTGAGAAAGCTGGGACTGCTCAGACAGTGGAAGAGAAGGGTTAGCGGGATCTTAATCCATGTGCATAAATACTTGGTGGGAGAGAATGAAGAAGAGTTCATCAGAAGATAGTAGGAAACTCAGTGGTTCTCTAGGACAGGATGAGACAATGGGCACAAACAGAAATAGAGGAAATTCCACATGAACATAAGGAAACACGATTTCATTGCGAGGGTGGTCAAACCCCTGAGAAGGTCGCTCAGGGAGATCACGAAGTCTCCAGCCTTGGAAATACTCAAACCCCAAGTGGCCACGCTCCGGGCAGGGGGTTGGACGGGATGACCTCCTGAGGTGCTGCCAACCGCAGTCACTGTGACCGGGGAAAGACTAGGTAGGGAATGCTTTATCGCAAATAAGCAAACCTGCAAAATATTTATAAGAAGACACAATTTAAAGCAACTAACTGATCACATATGAAGCATTGTTCCCGAATAGGCCAGAAGGTTAGTCAAAAGGTGCATCAAAAATTTTTAACTGGCCACCACAGGTCGGTGTAAGTCGCCTCAGGAACCGCAGCCCCCTCCCCGGCCCAAGAAGTGTCTCC